AGCTGGAGGGAAGTGAGCAGCCCCTAACGTGTCAGGGAGGGGAGACAAATAAACAGCCCCCTGAGATTCATCCAAGGAGAGGGGAAATGAGACAACTCCTGGACGGGAGCAGTATGGAAGATGGAGAGGACAAAAATGAGTAGGATTTCTCGCCCCCTCTCCTCCCACAGCTCCTGCCTGCACTCTGTGGGTGCGGCTAGGGCTTGGGACAGCCTGAACTGAGGGCTTCTGCTGCTGCTGCAGCCGGGCAACCCGGGATCTTCCCCTCACCCAGCGGCTCCTACTGGGGTTGGAGGCTTGAAATCCTGCCAGCTGAAGCTGAGGAACCCCGGGCTCGGGGCTTCTGCCCCCTTCTGCTGAGCTGCTCCACATGAATCACATCCTGATTGCCATGTTCTTTTTCTCCCTCTGAGCCACCTGGCACTGGGCACTGTCAGAAGACAGGCTACTGGGCTTCATGGGCCATTGATATTTCCCAGTCTGGCCATTCTGGTCTTCTTATTTAGACCACAGATGTATCTGCCTCCTGCTGTAACGCACTATACCCCACCCACCTCCCAGAGCTGAGATAGATCCCAGGACCCCTGACGGGGTCTCTCTCTGCACAGAGTTAGTAACAAATTAAGAATAAACATTAAAATGTTAACACTAACCAGTGTCCTTAATTGACTTGCCATAAGATGTGAGCACATATTGGTTTTAGAGATGACTGGGTCATGGCTGACAAGGGGAGGGGAAGACAGGAGCAAGTGACAGGGGCAGGGCATGGGGAGAAGACACACAGCAGGGTTGAGGCTTGACAGAAGAGATGAGGCAAGGTTACAATTTCAGGGATCCAGCTACCAGCAATTAGAAAGGTGATAACCCAGTGTAGTGTACATAGACTGACGCCCCAGTTCATCACATTGACACAGCACAGTAATGGGAGAAAAGGGTTTAATGTGTCTCTGTCTGTCCAGTAACTGATTCAGGGAACAGGCCCCAGCACCAGGGCCATCCTTAGCCATAGGCAGCCGCCTAGAACACCACTCTGCCTGGGGGCACTGCTCTGCTGGGAGCCTGGACAGACCAGAAGCAGTGGAGCATGTAAGAGCAGGGCTGCTGGGTCCTAGAGAGAGCCGAATGCTGCAGGCTCGGGGGTGAGCCAAGCATGAAAGCAGGACTGTGTTGCCATTTAGATTGTCATTTAACAACTTTGTTTGCCAAAAATCCTGCTTGCTATCAATCCTGAATTCAATTTCAATATTTTTTAAAAAAAATCAATATCTTAGCCAAAAACAGAAAATTAAGTTGTTGACAATTATTTGTGACAAGTTTGGTATGGGGCAGAGAGTGGGCCAGTTTTCATCAGAGAAACAAAAAATGTTGACTGACTTTCCTATAGCCCTGTTACTGCAAAATAGAGCCCTCCAACCACTGTAATATGCTCATCCCCTTACTAGTGTACAGAGCAGGGGTCGGCAACCTACGGCACACGTGCCAAAGGTGGCACACAAGCTGATTTTTGATGGCACGCGGCGGCGGGCTGAATGGCTCAGCTCCCCATCGCTCTGGGGTTCCTGCTGCTGCCCCATTGCCAGCCGGGGTCCCGGC